ATATATATATATATATATATATATATATAATGGTCAAGGTACATATTAATATAATATATATATATATATATATATATATATAATGGCCCAGGTTTTATATATATATATATATATATATATATATATATATATACACACACATATACACACACACTGGGGACGAGGTGTGGGTTGGTAAACAGTGACTATTATAGCTATATAGCGAGACTCTTCGCAGATGCGAATTGAGTCACTGTTGGTCACTGGGCGTGTTTCTAAAAATAAATACGCTAAAAAATTCACTTTCATCCCTACCGTGTGCCGACGGCTTAATGGTTAGAATCTCCGACTGACACCAATTCAGTCGGGTTTCGATCCTAGCTAGAGGCAACCGGATGTCTAGCCACACTGATGAGCTGTGAAACAGCAAAACAGTCTGTCTGTGGATGACGTTATATATATATATATATATATATATATATATATATATATATATACATATATATATATATACACACACACATATATACATATATATATATATATATATATATATATATATATATATATATATATATATATATATATATATATATATATATATATATATATATATATATATATATACACACAAGAGTAATAGAGTGAATTATATTATTCTTCATAATCACTGTCAAAATTTGTTTTTTTAAATGCTTTCAGATTTATTCAAGTAAACAATCCTGTAAACAGATCTAATATTATTACTTTGAGAATTGAAATGAGGTGTGCAGCTTTTTTTTATAATGATAAAAAAAAACAGATTTTTGCTATCTCTTCATGAGTAATTATTTCATGGTAAATCAAAGATCTTTATCTTCAATGAACAACAATGATCGACACGTAAATATCACACACACACACACACATCTGTCTGAAAATAATCCCGTCATTTTAAGAACCAGTTACAAGATTTTGTTACAATTCTGAAACCAATTTGAATGGACCGTTATGTAGCAAGCTATTTGTACTGTCTTTTTTACAAATACTTTCGCGATAGCTGCTCTGATGAGCTGCTTCTGCTGGTTCCCAGACTTCATAAATTTAAGCGTTCAACTAGGCTGGCATCTCACTCTTGCCCTTTCACTGTCGAAACTGTTAAATGTAGCCATCTCTTCTACTCCAATAGCTTCATGGCTTGCACTTCTCTCCTGTGGAACTCCCTCCTCATTTCTTGTTTTCCTGATAGCTATAATCTCCAACTATTAAAATGTAATGTCAATTGACGTCTCCAGATGCCTCGATCTATCCCCTATCCTTCTCTTCATCCTTTCCTCTGTAACCCCTTGCGTGCTAGTGGCTTACTTCCTTGCTAGGGGTGAAAGTATCAAATAGCTGGATCATTTCTGCACAAACCTTCGACGTATAAAAGCTATGCTTCATCAAATCTTCTTTCTAAAGATATTTTTTAAAGAGCAAAAAGAAAAATAGAACACAATATCTGTGATTTTTGAAAATCCATGCCATTTTTTTCTTTTTTTTATAACGTTAATTCACCAAATACAAGGCCCAAGAGCCACTCATGGTAGAGGGTTGCTGAGCAATATGGTTGTAAGGGATAGGGAAGGAGGAAGTAAGAAGTGCATATTATGAGGATGCGCAGGACAGATATCGTTTGACTAGATTTGAAGAGACTAAGTTTGTAGTTGTCAGGGAAGCATCCTCTCGGGAGTCTGCTCCACAAAGTAAGTTTTGGGGCAGAAGCTGTCTGAATGGAACTTACTCCTTATGAAAGAAACGTGAAGGAAATAGGGATGGTTTGACCCCCTCCCCGCCCCCATCCCAGTGAACATGGTCCTAGCTGTGAAGGTCTGAACTGGTAGGAGTAAGGAGTATGACTTGACTGAACATCTGTCATTGTAACAGCGACAGAATAGTGAAAGGCTTGCAACATTTTGTCTGTGAGATAAGAGTTGTAAGGTGGAGAATAATTTATCGCCTACAAGAGAGTGCTTAATCGCTTTTGAACTCTATCTTGGTTGGACAGTAAGGACAGGGCAGGAAGAGTCTAGATATGGCGGCAATTTCTGCATTCTTGGTCTGATCCAACTCTTGTAAAGATAAAGCAACTCAGTGGGAGTTAGCGGCAATTAAGGAACCAAAAATTCTTCCAGCATCTTTTGCAATGATGCGAATATACACATTCCATCTGAGGTCAAGAATGAGATTTAGAACAGGTATGCATTCAAGACAAGGCGCCTCATCAGTATTGGTGTAGGTTTAGCATTTGTGATAAAATGGTACTAGCTTCATTTTGGAGGTATTGAAAGAGACTAGCCAGGTTTTCCCCCCCATTAAGCTGTTAGAGTTAGGTCAGATAAGAAATCAGCTGCTCATCCAAATATTTGAAGGTGCATGAGTGCACCGTGGTATCTTCTGCATATACATTTACCAAGGATCTAAGAATGTTCTTAGGTTTGTTGATATAAAGCAGAAAGAGGGGCTACTGGCTGAGGGGAAAGCCTTGGTGGGCGCCAGCATTGATCTCATGTGCCTCAGAGGACTGACTATTTACAACGACCTACCTGACAGGAAGCACTTGATAACTGAGAAGACTCTTACAAAAAAAGAAAAAATATATGTTCTCATATGTTCTGTTTCTTTTCATTTTGTTTTAAATCTATATTTTGCACGTCTGCATGCAACTTCTCAGCCGCCAAAATAGTTCATTATAAGCAGAGATATTGAATTTAAATATGCCTATAATCATATAATAAATATGCCTATAATCATGCGATAAAAAATCTAGGTGATTATGACATGAATGATATTGTGAGGTCCTCGTTGGCGTTGAACTGAAAGAGATAAAAGATTTATTCAAGGGAGATAACTATATGAGGCTAATTATAGTTAACTACTTATTATCTTTCTTGATTTGTTTCCCTTGCTGACAACAATGAAAAACAGTTTGTAAAGGTGTTATAAGTGTTGAGTAAATAATTATAAACCCCCGTTACATTTATATATACAAAAATACTTGGAAAAATGAGAAACAGCCAGACGTGGAAACGACAAAACGAGTATTATTTATTATCTGGTTGTTATGTGGTGTTGGAGAATTGAGGAGTTTAGGGTCAAATGTAGATCAAATATGGATCGGAATCTGACAGGATAAGATAAAGAATGAGTAAAGTGTATACAGTCTTTCTCAGTATGTTTTTTACAGATGTGTGTAATGAGTGTTCAGATAATTTCGTTGGAAAATACAAGAAGTGTCTTGGGTTTTTTTCCCTCAAATTTTTGTTGAATGCTAAAAGAGAAATGTTACCATTCTTTTTTTCTTTTTATATGCTGTGTCCCTTCACGACATAGGCGATCATGGCTCTCCACTTCTCCCTATACCTTGTAACTTTCAATAACTTTTGTTCATTTGCTTCTCCTCCAGGCCCTGTTCTGTCATCCACTTGCATGACATATCCACTCGGTATGTCATGTGTTACTTTCCTTTGTCTCTTTTTCCTTCTATTCGACCTGTGAGTATCAGATTCTCCAAGCCCAACTTTCTCATTACATGTCCCAGAAATTTCAGCTGCTTCTTCCTGATGTTAAGTATAAGGTTCCTTCTTGTTTGCATCCTAATGTTACCATCAGTATCCCAGAAAATTTCAGCTGCCTCTTCCTGATGTTAAGTATAAGGTTCCTTCTTGTTTGCATTCTAATAAAAAAAATTCAGCTCCATTATGGCCTGAAAAGGAAAAGGAGCTGAAATTTTCATTGACACACATGTTGGCAACCTGTGTGTGTGTGTGTGTGTGTGTGTGTGTGTGTAGAAAGAGAACCTCAAAAAGAATAGCAAACTAGGCTTCTTTAGTTTGTGAGCTACGAACTGAAGATGTGAACATCAAACAAGTAAAGGAAGTTCAAATGACTGGGAAGTGTTTTAGCAGATGACAGACGATGTGACACCGAAATCAGAAAATGCAGTGGAATAGTAAAAATGGAATAGTAAAAGATGGTTTCCAAAAGCTAAGCAAAGTATTAAAAAACAGGAAAATTACATTAGAGGGATTCTAAGCATACCATACTTAAAATCAGATGAAATTTCTAGCACACATAAACAAAAAAGAAAGCTTGGAAATTTTGACACTCACAGGAGTAACCTAACAAGCTTGTGTAAATGAATGGCAGAACATTGAATGGAAGGGTGTCAGTACAGACATAGAATGGGCCTTAACTCACATGAGAACAAGTCTGTCAAAACTAGTTACATCCAGATTTTACTCGTTGACAGCTTGGCATGTCTAGATATGGGCCTCTCTGTAACTTAATCAGATCCAGCTCTTTGTCAGCTGTATCAAACGCAACTGGAAAACCAGCAGTAAGTAGTGGACAAGACTAAGTATCTTGTGAAGTCATTCCCTTGGGCATTTTATTCCTAAAGTTGCATGTCACCTACTGTGCTGTTGTTTCTGAGGCAGTGTTGTTTTGTTTTCTTCCATCTCTCTTTTCCTTCTCTGCTTGTTACCCTATATAGTTCTTTAGTTACACATTTCCCACAACCACAACACACCCTTGCCGTATTTCACAACAGAGGGTTAACAAAAAAAAGACAAACAATGTTAAGTGCTATACAAAGAATAGGAAATTGTGGAGAGCCATGATTACTCACATCCTGAAGTGATACTGAACATAGTTTAGATTCGGCAAACGTGGAGCTTTCTTGTCACAAAAAAAAAACAGTGTGTCAAAAAGACAGTTTTTCCCATGATATCATTTTTAATTTTAACTACCGTCCTTTTGAAAGTCTTTTTGTGGGTACAAAGTTCCATGTTTGCTGGAGATTCTTATTTACTTACTTATAATCATGAGTGAAAAAATCTGAAACAGAAACATTGAATAATAATGCACAGAAGGTAACATAATCCACAATGGAGTTAATTCAATGATAATGTTTTCTTCCATCTTAATATTCTAATGGCCGACAACATTTCCTCCAAAAAAAAAAAAAAAATGAACAGGGAAATTCAGGTTATGAAACTTACTTCCTGGAGATTCTTGAATTGTTCAGTGCTTTTCTCCAAATGTTCAAACTGTCTGCTTTCTAGACGACTTTTCGACTGCTCCAGATCATCAATGTGTGTCTCCAACATCTTCACCTTCTCGTTTAATGCTTGTATTTCAATGTCTTGTTGAATCTTTTCAGTTTCAAGATTGTTTATCACAGCTGCAATAGACACCACAATCCAACTGGAAGTATAAATACATACAACTACCTGTATGCACATTATATATATATATATATATATATATATATATATATATATATATATATATATATATATATATATATGTATATATATATATACACACACACACACAATATGGACACAGGAATCAACACTATGACCACATTGTATATACCGATAAATGCACTATCTGATACTGAGAACTTTATCAAATTTCAAACAAAGTGTGCATGTATTTATATGCATCTACACAGACACAGACACACACACATACACACAAGCTAAAAGCACAAAGAACACTTGTTCCCTGAAAGTATTTCATTTCACCCCCAAGCAAAGCAATAAAGCCATTAAGACACAAAGGGGTTAGAGAATATGAGAAAAGGAAAACATTATTAAAGTGAGAGAACAATAAAAGAACAGGAATTAAGACTGCATTTAAATCTTTCAAGATGAAAGTTAACTGGAAGGCAAGAACTGGAAAGGAGTCCCACAGAAGTGCGTGAGCGGAAATTGTTAGCATAGAACCTTACACAAATTCTCATCGTTCTTGTATTCACAAATAATTTGGGTTTTATTCTACAACTTATACAAACTCTTATCCTAACACTAGTTGTTTTTATTGCAAGCTTTTGGCCAAAAGGAGTTCTTTGGCTTTCTTCAAAGGAATCTCTCCCTCCCTCCCTCTCTCTCTCTCTCTCTCTCTCTCTCTCTCTCTCTCTCTCTCTAGTAGGTGATTTGAAAAACAACTGAAGTTTGTAGTAAACATCACATTAAATTCTATACTGGTTCTGTTTCTACAATTCCTATATCAGATTCATATACACAGATTTATTAACTTATGACATATTTATTTTAAAGAACAGAGTTGTAAAATAGTGTTAAATGTTACTCAACTCAAATCCATTTTAAAATGCATTTGAGTTGATTAACATTTAACACCAGTTTGCAATTTACCATTTCTGATTATCCCCCTTGCATTGGGAATGCTTGTTTACAAAACATTGTAACCACAACGGTTAATTTTTAAATAATTATAGCAGTGCGTATTTGCAAAAATCACTATCACAACGATGTGGTCAACATTCTAAAAAGGCCAGTTTGTGCAAAGTCATGATGACTTGTGACTTTGTGCTAGCTCAACCATCAACAGCTCCCAAAATTCTATTTCTATCTACCCAATTTCACTCACAAGGCTTGGGTTAACCCGTGGCATTGCTTTCAGGTACTTTCTAAAGGTGCCACATGCTTTGATCATCTCCCCAGGCTGTTAAACATCAAGAAGTCACCTTCCTGATAAATCATTCATGAAGAGATTCAAACCTGGGTCTCATGTTTGGAAAATGAATGTTCTAAACATTTGGCCATGCACCAGGGTAGGGGGTTACTGAATGGGGATTTTGTAAGGGCCTATAGGGAAGGATCAAAGGCTGTATATTATGAGGCCTGATATCATGGCTGACATTGTAGTGGTCAGGAAAGCCTCCTATAGCCAGTCTGTTCCTCAATACAACAGTTCTGGGGGAACAAGCTGTTTGAATGGAACTTACTCTTTACAAATGGAATATGAAAAGGATGATGATGAATGTATGTAGCAGGTGTCAACTTATGTTAAGTTTGTCTTTGCAAATCACCCCTGAGAATGGTCTTGGAGGAGATTGAAATTACTTGTGTTAACAAAAAAAAAGCGCCTTTCTTGATGAATTTCCACTTAACATCAAGAAGATAATTAGAGAACTAGAAGGGATTATTATAAAAATAAATAGACATAAAATGTCTATATTATTTAATGAAACATGCCTGAATGAAGATATAGTTTTATATGTGTCTCATTGATAGAAAATTCTCTTTGAGAACGAAGCATGTTTGTCATTCCTTTTCCTTTCAGCCATTCCATTCTGTCTGTGAATTACAGTGTTTTCCTATTGTGATACTATTTTTTGTTACGGTGGTAAAATAAAACCTAAGAAAGTTTTCTTATCAATAGAAAGTGTTATGTGCTGAGAGACATTGAAACGAGAAGGGTTAATACCAAAAACTCATGGGAAAAATTGAGTATTTAAATTCACACTTAAACAACTTGAATTGTATGTCGAGCAGTTTGAACAACGGAAAAGTGACCCAGACTTAGGGGGAAATGTTGACCGACACACAGCTACAAATACAAGCCGTAAAGCAAAAATTTCATTTTTTGTAAACAACAAATTTGGAGTTGATTCCCCTGATCCAAAGTTGAGTTGAAATACCATGCTCACTGAGGAGATTTAGTGAGAGGTAATAATATGAGAGAGGGGAAGAAGGGAATTCCTCAGAATTATCGAATTCTCTTACTTCGCCAGTTTGGGCGAATGTCAATAAATACGAATGTGCAAAGCAAATTTGGCAAATGAGTCACAGACAAGTCACAGAAGAGAGAAGAGAGGCAGAAGAGACGAAGACGAGACTAGAGACAGGAGAGAGACCCACGTGATTATCTGCTGATGAAAGCATCCAACTTCAGCCTTGTGCCGAACTTTACCAAAACAGCAACCCAAATTTTGCCAAGTCAACAACAATAATATCAATTCCGATCAGCTGCTGGTGTTGGAAGTCTTGGACAACCGTGAAGGATGTTGTACGATTAGAATATCACAGATATAATAACCAGGGAAATGCAAATGGGAGAATAAACTTTTCTTTCATAGCTCTCCCCCATTACAATTGTAACACTAGAAGCATTTTTGTATTGAGGTGTGTAAACGCCCCAGACGACTATCCATTTTTAGAAATCCAAAGTGACTAACACAGGGTTAATGTCTAATTTTTCACACATTCACATTGAGAATGTTTTGTAAACTCTAAATAAATGCTTTGTCAGCCATTAAACTCTCATCTATAATTTTCATAAATTATCAATTTTCTTCATTGAGGATGAATTGTCAAATGATTTATACTTTGCAAAGACATAGACAACATTTGCTCTTGGTTGATTGATTTTATGACATAAAAGTTGTCGGTGTGACAGGCTTTCTTTTCTGGGGTATCACAAATTGCAAGAGCAGTTATAAAACAATGCCCATCTCCTCCTGAGATATTAGATGGACAGGTCACATGGACAGGTCACATGATTGTATGCCTTTCTAAGCACCAAACATTATGAGAGAGAGAGAGAAAAAAAACTTACTTTTCTGGCACATGAGATTTTGTTTTTTCTCCAAGAGAGTTTGTTGAACATCAGCCAATTCCTTTTCAAGTTTTTCTGTTTTTGATCTGGCATCTGCCAAAGAACTTTCTAACTGTGTCAACTGAAAAAAAAAAATGTCAAAATGTATAAATGATTTAGGATTTTTTTTTTTTTTTCATGCTTAATTCAAAATAGGTGTTTAATGAATTTTCACTGGGTTTTAAAAAATGTCAGAAAAGTTAATTTTTAAATGAAAATTACAGGATCTTTAAACATAATATTGTGTATGGGATTAGAAAAATTATTCTTTGACCAAGACATCATTTACTTAAGTAATAAAATTCTATCTAAATCTTAAATTGTAAAGTAACTTGTTAAAGGGTTAAATGTAAAAAAAAAAAAATAACAGAACTGTCCAAGAAACAGAATTGACAAAGTTTGCAATAAGCAATAACAAGAAAAGGAACAGGGCCAAAAATAATATAAAGCAAACAAGCAATATATGCAAGACAAATTAATAGTAACAATGCAAAGCCACAGTAATATGGTAAAAAGTTCACAAACTAAGAATTAGAGTTGACACAAAAGAGCAAGTTTGGATAAGCCAACGTAGAATTCTGACTTCAAAACAAAACAGACTGATAACAAGTCATATGAAACGGTCAAATCACGCTGAAAACACCGGTTCTCATTCGATCACCAAAGTTAAGCATCGTAGAGCCAGCTCAGTACTTAGATGGGGGACCGCTTGGGAACACCTGGTACTGTAAGCCCCCAAAGTCCAACCCTTACCTTACAGTCGGTGGGGGGGTATAAACGGTAGTGTCAGAGCTATGCCGCCCGGAACTTCGTTCCTGGTAGGGCCACAAGGCGGACAGGTCTGACAGACACGCCGGCTAACAAGGGCTCTGGTGAAAATCCAAGGAGCGCCTGCATCGGTAACCGGCGGCTTCTGGTCGTTCCTGTCTCTGCGTCTGTGGGAACCCCGCGGCAAGCAAGAACGTTATCCGAGTAGGCCTGGGTACCCTACTTCTGTAATTTATCCCAAGAATCTTCTCATAACAGGAAGAAGCCGGCTCAATCTGCCCAGGGTGAATGCCGCATCAATACAATACATATGAAACTGAGAACCGGCCTGTTTTATTGACTAGAAAGAAATCCCAGCATGCATTTGTGTGTTTCTACTTATAAATTGGAAAGGGGCAAGAGTTTTACAGTCATTCCTATATGGATTGGGACCAACATAAAGAACAACTTTTTCTTTATTTATTGTCAGTTTTTCCATTTTTTTTCTTGGCTGGTTGCTCGTATCCGAGTATGCCTGTGTACTAGGGATGCTACTCAATCCCTGTTGCAGACGCCTGCTCAGTCACATTTGTGTTAGTTCAATACTCACAGAGCCCACCTGTTGTTTATACTGCTGAGCGGACTTTATCGACAGTTTCTGAGGGAGAGCACAGTATCTGGCATGATCAAGTCTGAAAAAGGCCACTTCATGCAAACCCTCGGTCATGATGACTTGTGACTTTGTGCTAGCACAACCATCAATGGCTTCCAAAATTCTATTTCTATCTACCCAATTTCACTCACAAGGCTTGGGTTAACCCGTGGCATTGTTTTCAGGTACTTTCTAAAGGTGCCACATGCTTTGATCATCTCCCCAGGCTGTTAAACATCAAGAAGTCACCTTCCTGATAAATCATTCATGAAGAGATTCAAACCTGGGTCTCATGTTTGGAAAATGAATGTTCTAAACATTTGGCCATGCACCAGGGTAGGGGGTTACTCAATGAGGATTTTGTAAGGGCCTATAGGGAAGGATCAAAGGCTGTATATTATGAGGCCCGATATCATGGCTGACATTGTAGTGGTCAGGAAAGCATCCTATTGCCAGTCTGTTCCTCAATACAACAGTTCTGGGGGAACAAGCTATTTGAATGGAACTTACTCTTTACAAATGGAATATGAAAAGGATGAGGATGAATGTATGTAGCAGGTGTCCTAGATGTGAAGACCTGAACTGGTAGAACGAAAGCACGCAGTTCACCGTGAAAATAGCAGCAGTGTAGAGAGAGACTAACAATGTTTTTGTTTATATCTTTGAGATCAGGTCTTATAATTATTTACATTATTTACATTATCCAGACTGTTATCCTCATCTTCATTGCCATATTCATAACATTTCAGCCGTTTTATGCTCCGACCTTCTTCAGGTGACTGGACATCCAGAAGAGGCCTGGTATGTGGAATGAGAACAATCTACCCCAGTGGACGAAATAAAGGAGTCAGTTTGAAATTCCAATCACCTGAAAAAAGCCGGAGTGTACAATGGCCAAAACGTTGGGAATATGGCAATGAAGATGAGGATAACAGCCCAAATAGTGTAAATAATATAAATAACATTGTTTCGTCTGTGAGAAAATGTTTTAAGAGTGGTAAGCAATTTATCAACCACAAAGCTGTGCAAACATTTTGGAACTCAAAGGCTCTCTGATTAAATTAACAAGATTTATACCTTATCTTCCCAATCAGCATTTTCAAAAACCCAAAATTAAGCAGCAAAAGTAACCAACCTGGAAATGTTGTTCTGAAGAACTACCTTCTCTGTGTTGGAGTTCGGAAACGAGGAGAGTTAATTGTGCTTTGTATTTTCTTGCTTGTTCATTAGCTTCGCTCAATTCTCCCTCTAAACGTTGCACTTCACTGACCAATTGTTTTTCGGTTTTGTCTAATTTCTGCTGCAACTCTTCTTTCTCTGAACTCCATCTCTCCAATGCGTTTGCCTTTTCTGCTTCTTGCTGTTGCCTGTTTGATGCAATCTCTTTATCGAAGAATGCTTGGGCTTTGTCAAGTTTCAATTCCCACTCACTGTTTGTCTGCTTTAGCTTATCGTCTGCTTCCATGGCTCGTATTTTCCACCGGTCAAGCTCCTGCTGGTACTGCTGCACCTGTTGCACACTAGCTGCTCGTTCACTGTCCCCTGCCATCTTTGCCTCTACCAGATTACAAATCTCTTCCTGGTAATGTTTATGCAATTGTTCTACCATTTGCTCAGATTCTGTTTTCAAGGTTTTCTGTTAAAATAAATACAACATTTATTTTTAGGAATTTTTCTATCAAACCTTTATAGAAAATGAATGATTCAATTGTGATTTAGAATAAATTTTTGCCCTTGGCTCTGAAGAATATTCCCAGTACAAGTGCTTATGCTAATTGTAAAAGTGACTTGGCGATAGGAGAGATCATTTCAGCCATCTGCAAATAAGATATGACCAAGGCCATAAAGGATTTATACTAGCCAAATGGTAATAAGGAAATATCAGAATTAAAAATATAACTGGAAGGATTCATGATTATTGTCTTTGTTGAAAAACCTGATATAATGAACCTTGCTTTCAGTTTCAAGCAATTGTTAGCCACATACCGGAAGAAAGCCTTTTTTTTGGGGTTTTGTCATTTTCACCTCCATCTCAGGCATCAAAGAAAACCAAATCAACTTTGTCACTTTTCTTCACCCACTCCAGTTGCCATCTTTCCAAAGTAAACCAGTGTGAAGAAGAAAGATGAAACGCTTTTGTAGAAACCAAAATAAATACCAGGCAACACAAGTAAATATCTGTTTCTATTTTGTTCTATTATGGGGTCCTCCCCTTTTTCATATAAGTGGACTCGACCAGAGTGTTACTTGGACTGCTGCCGTTAAATACCCAGAGTCAGTCAGAATATAGAGAGAGAGTGAGAGCAGAGATTGTGATTGAGTTGGAGGTAGAGTAATAGTGTGAGGTAACCGCTTGTAGAAGTCACAGTTACAAGCATGTAGACTCTAAAGAAGTCCTACTGAGACTGTGTATATATATATATATATATATATATATATATATATATATATATATATATATATATATTATTGTTACTAACGCATGTTCCTGGATTTACTAACAGTATTACCCATTGTATTATTGTGTAAATACATTTAATTTTTTTTTATATTTAATTTTGCGTTTGTCATTCATTGGAAACCTAATTTCACCTCAGAATCCACAACATGTTCTTTCACAGCCTTTCTCTAACTATTGATCTCAAAAAGAGATTGAACAAATACAAATCAAATAGAGATCAAAATCAATTTCTCTGAGCCTTACTACCAAAGTCGTCTGAAGGAATGCAATGGCATTTGGTTCACAACTAAGCACAACTCACAATGGCCAACACAGGATGCAGTTGATGACATGGTGAAAGCGATAGGTTTGCAATAGATATACTTCACCCTATGTTGTTAATTGGTTCCAGAGGTCCTGACTTAAGTCAAAAGATGACTGAAGTTGAAATAACAAGAAATAAGCACTCCCCATTGCCCCTTACAGTATTTATGATATGTATTTACAGTATTCTGAATAAAATAATTAATTTCTACCTATCTTCTAGCAATATAGCCTTACAATTAGCATAAGCACTTGTACTGGGAATATTCTTCAGAGCCAAGGGCAAAAATTTATTCTAAATGTCAATAACAGAGCCCAGATGTAAACAAGTCTTAATTCAAAATCAGTGTTGGAACGGCAAACAACTCACAAGTGCTGCCTGTCAGCAGGAATTTGAAATAAAAACATCTACTGAACATATTTATTATAAACGTTTGAGGAAAATCATGGAAAATTATAGTTTAAAAGCAGTAAACCAGATGCTCCTCTATAGCTAAACTGGTATAGCACATCAGATTATATGACAGTTCCGTGTAGGATACAGGTTTGATTCCTGTCAGAGGACGCATCTTTTCTCAGATATTCAGGCCAGTAAATGTTGTTAATACTGTTTATTATGAACAGAGCATTTACTTAAATATTTATGTGTATATAAATAACATATAACATTAAAATACTTTATTATACTAACTTTTTAGTTTTTGATGATTTTATGACATATATATATATATATATATATATTATACATAATATTATTTTGAAATTTATTTAAATATGATTTTATATGTTTATTGTTATTTTAGTGTTTTTACATTTCTAATATTTTTAACGGACGACATAAACTCAAGTAAAACAACGTAAATTTTATTTTTCCATATAATATTTAAGAAAAAAATGACATATCTTCGAAAATGACTTGAAACGACTAAAGCCAAGGTATCACTGTATTTCATATACACAATAGGTTATAAAAATTAATATGTTTTATCTTTTGCAATCTCTCCAATTTTTCAGGTATAAAGCATGGGTGAAGCAAAGTTACAGTCCCTGCCACTACACAATCTTCATCAAAACAGTTTCATGTTACCTTTTTTTGACTTTCCCAAGTCACCAAACTCAGTCAGAAAATTAAAATCAAAAATTCATTTTTAAATTCATTTTTGTCCATTTTCAATGAGAGCCGAAGGCAATTATTAAATAATTATGACAATGAGAAAATGAAAATGACAAAAGGTGGGGTATACAACTTTGTTAGTGGCACTTCTTCATCACTCTTTCATATCATAAACTCTCCCCCAACTGATCTGTCATCAGTTAGAACAACAGACATTTCAGATTTCCATGAGTGAAAAAGAGCAGCTATTAAATGAGTAAGTGACCTGTTAGTCTTTTCATCTCAAACATTCAATAATGCAATTAAAAAAAATTCTTTTTGGGAGACTTTTTCTGTAGATAGGAAACAAGTAAAATAAAAAGAAACTTGCACCTTTGTAAGTTCAAAATTCTGGAGCTTTTCTTGGAAGTCCTTTTTCATTTCAAGCAATTCTCCCGAAAATTCCCAGATCTTTTGGGAGAAGTTGATCTCTTGTTGGTGCAACTTCTCCTGCATGCTGTGCTTATAGTCTGTGTGCTGCTGCAGTATCTGCTGTTGTTGGCTTTGGTGTTCAAATACGGCCTGCTCCAATTCAGCAATCCGTTCCATATGACTTTCAGACTCTGCCAGTCGCTGTTCACAGAGCAACAGTTTCTGTTTTGTATTGGCCGCCAACCGCTCAACTTCCTGCTCATGTTGCTGTTGCAAATGCTGAACTTGTGACTCGTGCTCATCCTTTTTTGTGTTCAGAGCGTAGATGACCTGAAAAAAAGACAACATAACCAACATTAATCACATCAGGAAAACAGAATCTTATTTCATTTGACACGAGAACATATTTAGCAACTGTCAAGGTAATAAAATGTTTTGCTGCCAGAGACAGAAAAGAAAATGGAAAGAATGATTAAAAAGTGTAAGCAAAGAAAGCAAGAAAAGGACAAGCCATAAAGAGAACTTAGAATGCATGGCTGTCAGTAAAAGAAACAGCCAAGGAGCTGAAATACATAATGAGGACTTTATAAACAAACTTAAATTTAAAGAAAAGTCATCCTTGTGCTTTTGAATTTCTTTCACAGAAACTCAGGATCAAGAAATGCTCTTCAAAACAGTGCTGATGCTTCATCCGTTATATGCTGAACAATTTTGTCAGCTGAAAAAAATGTGAATTGATGAGATACTTTTTTAATAATGAATGTCAAGAATACCATGGACAGAACATGTGAAAAACAAACAAGTTTAAAGGTGAACAGGAACAACAAAGAAATTGTAGATAACAATTACAAAGAGAAAGCTGAAATTTTAGGTACATATAATGAAGAAAGAAGACTTTGAGAATTT